CTTCCATTATTATAGTCATGGATTTATTTTTCAAGCCTTCTCTCTTTTGCCATCAGTTATCAATGGACATGATCCCCTACTCATCATGTGGGCCATAAAAATTTGAATAACTAGAGGGCTGGTTTCAAAGTCAGGAAGCTCTGGATCCATGACTCTCTTAGAGAGTCATGAAGACGTAGTAAGTGAACACAGGGTTTGGAGTTAGCAGAACCAGAGTCCAAATCTGGACTCAGACACATTAATAATGTGACCTTAGGGAAGTCACTTAACCTCTTTGGGCCTCAGTTTCCTCATCTGTCATTTTTTTCGGGGGAGGGGAAGAATTGGACTCAATGTCCTCTAAGTTCTCTTCCCGTTTTCAATCCATGATTCTGTAAGTTCTGTTTGACATATATCAGCTGAGTGACCACAGGCAAGATCCTTAGCCTTTCAGTTGCTCAGGCTCAAAAAAGACTATAAATGTCAGATAAGATACCAATCTTCATTGGTAAAGGGAACCAAAAATTCTCTATAGCTATGAAATTTTAGATCTGGGGGCAAATAAGAATGCCATAGAATAAAAGTTGGGAAGCATAGTACCCCTTGCACATTTAAAAGACATAGTGCGCAGAACTTAGCATCAGACCTTGCATATAGTGTTTCTCTAATCAAATTAAAGTTAGAAATAGTCTTTAAAGAATGTTTTTATTCTGTTAAACTAAGGTACAAATGTACTGTTTTTTAAAAGCAGGATGCTATTTTTTCTTTTTGATTGATATTTTTATTCAATTCTATTTTATTTGTAGGTCCATGTTCTCTCCTTCCCAACTAACCCCCACCCTCATTGAGAAAGCAAGAAAAATGAAATATGTTACAAACATGTGTAATCAAGAAAAGCAAATTCCTTCATTAGCCACATTCCAAAAAAGGTCTCATTCTGCAGTCAGAGTCCACAACCTGTCTGTCAAGAAGTGGGTAGGAAGCTATTTTTTTTTTAAAGGTAAATTTAGAACCAGCTAAGCACTTTGGTTCTTTGTACATTTATACAATCCCAAACTGATTTCTATCTACTGGCCAGTCAGATGTTAATGGGGGCATTCTATTGCAGAAAGAGGATTCTCATTATCCAGTTTATAGTACATTACTTACCTTGGACCTCTAGCACAAAATGCAAATGGAAAAGGTAAAACTTCAAAATTCCTGGACATCTCTTCTTATTCCATGTTCTCCATGCTTTTGACTGGACCATCAGCCCTGTCTCACCAGTCATCAAATAACTCTGCCTTTCTTCTTAATAGTGTTTTATTAAAAAAAAAAAAAATATATATATATATGGAGAGAGAGACAGAGAGAGACAGAGAAAGAGAGAGACAGAGAGAGAGAGAGAGATTTGTTGTTGAGTTGTTTCAGTTGTGTCTGATTCTTTGTGACCCCATTTGTTTTTTGTTTTTTTGGGGGGTAAAGTGTTTGGGTAAAGGGTTAAATGACTTGTCCAGGGTCACACAGCTAGCCCGAGGCTGGATTTGAATTCAGGAAAATGAGCTTTCCTGTTTCCCAGCCCAGTGTGTCACTTCGTCACCTAGCTGCCCCATAGATAAAAATATACGCACACACATATGTGTACATGTGTACATATATGTGTACACATATGTGTACATATATACATACACATGTGTGTATATATGTATGTAATAGTTATATTGACCTTTCTCTGTTGTAACCAAAGTATGCTAATAGTGCTTGGAACTTGCCAGAAGTCTAAAATGAAAACAAAGGGATAATGGCTTTCTTTTTTTTCTTCTCTTTCTTTGTTTTACTCCCTGTTTTCTTCTTGTTTCTTTTATTCATTAGTGAACATACGTTCGGAAGCCCCGTCTCTTTCTGTGACTCCAGTTCGTGCACCGCCCCTCATAGAATTAGATCAGGCAGCTCGGTGTAAAGGGGTAGAGATCTAGACTTTGAGTCAAGAAAACCTGAGTAAAAATCTTCTGTCAGACAATGTCTGGCTGTGTGACCCTGGCCAAGTCCTTTAACCTCTCAGAGGTTTAGTTTCTTTATCGGTCAAATGAGGATAATAATAGCAACTCTCTCACAGGGATGGTTAGAACATGGGCTTGTAGTCATGGAGACCTGAGTTAAAATCTCAGATACTTACTAGCTGTGTGACCTTGGGTAAAACACTTAACCTCTGTTTGCCACAATATTTTCATTTATAAAATGAGGATAATAATAGCACCTGCCTTACAGGGCTGTTATGAGTTTCAAATGAGTTAATATTGATAAAGAGCCTTTTAGAAGTATTACAGAATGTTAACTGTTATTATTACGTACACAAATGAACACAAATGGTCATTTCAAACACAGGTTCACAACTGAATCTATCTTCTTCTATCCCAAACCTGCCACCCCTCCCATCATCCCTAGCTCTGATGATGGCAATTAGATTCAAAAGTGTCAAATGATCTCTTACTTTTCCCTCTCCTTCACCCCACCCCATGACTAATAAGCTGACAAATCTCATCCATTCTACCTCCACGATATCTCTTATATGTATGTATGTATGTATGTATGTATGTATGTATGTATGTATATTTATCTATATCTATGTCCATCTATCTATATCTATATCTATGTCTATGTCTGTTCATCTGTGCTCATACTGCCACCATGCTAATTCAGGAGCTCATCAATTCTTCCCTAGATTAATTTGTCTCTCTGCCTCCAGCCTATCCTCTCTCATTCATCATTTCCAGAGCTGTCTAGATAATCTTCCTGAGGCATGTCTGACCAGTCTCCCCTGGCCGTCTTTAGCAGCTATCTGGAATAAACTCTTTAGGCTGTCATTTAATTGCCTTGACAATCTAGTTCCAACATAGCCTATATTCCTTATTTGCGCTTACTCTCCTTCA